GGCGGATTCTCTTCTCTCCTCTATCACCACCTTTCACACAACCAAGATAATCATCACGGATCCCACTAAGTACTCCTTCATTGGATCCATTCCTGATACCATGCTTACCTGTGTGTCCACAGCAAGCACTGTTCTGCAACAATACAGGAAGATTCCTTCTTCGCGTCCAAGGGAGCTCACGCAATCTATGGTTCGCTCCATTGAAGAGGCTGACAAGCCAGCAAAGGGGGGAAAGAAAACTGAGACGAAGGCTACTAAACCAACTAAGGGGCAAACCCCTACGAAGCAAAATTCTGACAAGGCTGCTCCGTCACAACCTCAACCGAAGAAACAGAAAAAGCCTGCTCGGAGACCCATACTCCAATCTCCAACTGATTCAGAGTCAGAGTATGTTCCTCCCAAACACAAATATGCTCCTCCTTCAGAATCTGAAAGCGAAAGCTCTGACGATGAGGCTTCGGGTCGTGGTGACACCCCGCCTCGCTCGCCTACCCCAGAAATACCAGTTCTCTCCCTACCTCCTTCTCCTCCACCTGTTACCATCCCATTATCCATCCCTCCGATATTTCCTATCCCTACCTCTCAACCATCAACCACTATTCCCATCCCTACTCCAATCTTCACAGACACTACCACTACCACCACTACTATAGGGGCTCATTCTACAGCTCCAACCCCACCTGTTACAACCAAACCACCACTAACAACCGAACCTCCTATCACTACCAAACCCTTATCCCCTACCCGTCCACTGACACCATGCCAGTTCTAGGCGGTCAGGACTTGGAATTTGATTCCACTTATTTCAGTCCTTACCGTGTACAAAGTGATGAAGACGACGATGAACCTGTCACCAAGCATCATCTCAAAGCAGTCAACGACAAACTCGATCACTACTTTCCTCCTCTTCATCTGGGCTTATTTTGATGTTGCTTTAAAGGTTTTGTTCTCCTCTATAGTCCAAGAACACAATGCCTCCCTTACAAATGTAGCTAAGGCTATCGACGCCTCCACTTCCCAATGCCAGAAATCCTCCCTTGCAGTTGAAGCTTCCACCAAGGAGTGCAAAGAAGCAACCGTAAAAGTCAATAAACTAGTTTCTGAGGCTCACTTATTTTTGGATTCTTTGCAGGCGGCTGCTCAGAAAAATTCTCAAATTGTGAATGCTTCGGTTGATAACCTTCAGCGTTCTCTTCAAGCTGAATGGTCCAAACTTGAATCTGCTCGTCAAGCAATCGAAGCAGCCAATGCTACTCTGCACGACAATGTCAATGATCGATTGACTCAATTGGAGGCAGAGTTGGTAGTTGAAAATCGCATCATGGATGAACTCGACAAAAGAACTTCTCAACTAAAGATGCAGAATCTAAAACTTCGCAATGCGACAGCTGAAATCAATGACTTGAAGTCTGAGAGGGAGGTTATTCGAAGCTCTACTGGCGATGTTCACTCCATCTTACTTCACCTCCTTGAAGCCCATGATCCCATCATTACCATCACCATCCGTAGGCATTTGGCTGAAAAAATTCGACCTGCACTGGCCATACTTAGTCGTATCGAGGGTGTTCTGGTGACTAGTGTCCAGCCGAAACAAGGGGGAGATAAGGTAGCAAAGATTCAACCTGCTCATGAACCGAAACCAACTGTTGAACCGAAGGTTAATGAAGCTTCGGTTAGTAATAGAGACAAGAAGAAAAAGAATAAGAAAATTAGGGAGGATAACATTGATAATGAAGAAGATGTTTATGAAAAGGATCCTGAAAACCCTTTTCAGAAGACAAAATCTTTTGTTAAAGAGCTTGAAGAAACGTTTAAGCAACACACGGCTAAGCTAGAGCAGAAGCAAAAGGAAAAGGAGCTCCTAGAAAAAGAAGATGTCCATTTTTGCTGAGTTAACTCTCGATTCGCTCCAAAGGTGTGCTATCGATGAACCAAGTATACTTTGGCTTGAGCCTGTGATGTCATTCGGGCTTGACAACTCCAAGGATGCACAGTTTGACATGCCGATCACGCGAAAGGAATTCATCTTTCATTGTTTCAACTCCACTGTTTCCATCCCATCTCCAGACCCGAAGGTGGATCGGGATCTATTGGAATTCTATCTGGAGTTTGCTAAGCCTCAGTACTTGATCTAGAGTTCACAAAAAATCACAACTGTCAAGGTACTGAAGCCCTATTCAGCAGGGAAGTTTGTTAATGTGAAATTTAAAGTGACTCGAGGATCTGAAGGCTCGGTTCACAACTTCACTCTTGCTGATCTACCGAACCTCAATCCCCACGACTGGATAATCCTCATCAACATCTTACTATTAAATCCTCAGGAGTATCAGCCAATCATTGACCATATCAAGCGAATGCTTGTCTGCTACATTCACTAAGTAGAAAAATAGACCAAGAAATCGCCTCGGTAATTCACAAGCAAACAATGATAAAACCAATGGGAAGAGTTGGCGATGTTAACTTGATGGTCAAAGGGAAGATTGATACGAAGTACCACACTGTGTTGTTCATTAGAGGCGAAGGACAGAAATGCCTGTTCGCTCTTGTTGACAAACACCTCTTCTCAACTGCTTACTTAGAGTACATTTTAGAGATTGTTCAGAGGTGTGATCAGAACATAGCAGCCGACAAGAAGATGTTTACTGATATGCTGAGATGGTATATTCAATTTCGGCAGACACTTCTTGCTATCATCCCTCGGCTGTTCAAGGTGGTAAAGACAGTAAGGCCAACTCAGAAGAAATAATCTCTCGCCTCATTTGACGCAAAAGGGGAGATTGTTGGGTTTATAGTGTTGCGTCATGGGCTCGGTCCTTAGCCCAGTTTTGGTTGCCGGTTTGGGCCTGTCCAACCGTGCATGTTTTATTCTAGGGTTTAGTATTTAAGCTACATGCATGCAGTCTTTGTGATTAACGATTTTATTTATTTTTCTCATTAAGTTTTGTAAACCCTAGCTCGCCTATACAGTGGAAGTTCTTGATCGAGCTCTGCTGAGGCATGACTATATTTGAATCAGAAGCATAACGTTGATTCGATTCGGTGTTCATAATATTATTGTGTTTGTTTTGTTTGATCTTCATCTTTTACCTGTGAAAGATTTAATCGATCTAAGTTTTAATCTCATCACATTTATATACAAATGGTCTAATACATTTAAAGTGTCTAATACAATTACATAAAACATGTCATAAATGTTTAACAAAGTGTTTAAAAGAAAAAACTAAGAATCATTCTATGGATTACCGATGGGTATATTGAATTATCTCATAAAATCTATCTACATTCTTCAAGTTATTTGTGTTTGTTGAGTTTTTCCATGCCTTTGAACTTGTTCGTGCAATGACCAGACCTAAAAATGATAAGACAAACATATATAATTAGTATACGAGTTTTACTTTTAAGCGATAACAACAATGTACTTTAGTTTTAACCCATTATAAGAATGTATTATTTACCTTCATCATTTATCATTATAAGGAAATAAAAACCATAAATAGTAACTACTAGTTCATCATTCATCGCACATATACCACCATACTCTGCCATTTGTCATTTAATAAAAGGTACACAAGCATCTTATTTATATTAGTTATTGAATACAATAATTTAATAACCTTTATTAACAAAAAAAAAAAAGTTAGCAAGCATTTATTACAACATACTGTAATTGAATCAGTTTTTTTCTATTTTGCATGAGAGAAGTTGCATGCATATATAATCATCAGACAACATTTGTAAGCTCTAGTCTACTAACAAGCATATTATATTGGCAATCATTAAAACCAACAAGGATAACTAAGGATATTTCCTGTCACGCTTTCACATAACAAACTCGTTGAGACTTTACATTAAATATAGGAAATGAAAATAAAATCGTAAGAGTTGTAAAGCTCTAGATGCATAATTGATCAATCGACTTCTTCAATATTCATGGCTTCTCCCTGGAAATCATTCAACACCAGCTCAAGCTCAAAATTTTCCAAGTCAAAGAGCATAAATTATAAAGCAAATCCTTGTGATTATGGGTACCCTTCTTAAATATGTACATCAACCACAAAGACAAATCTTGGTAAAAAGAAGTAGGGTTTGTCCTAACTCTTTAGTTAGTGCATCTAAAAGCTTTATCATCGTTTTTCTTTTAGAAAATTGTTTGTTTATGTTAATTGTTAATTGAATATGAAGGATCCAAAGAAGGAAAAATGTAATTTATGAATGGATTGATGAAGATGAAGAAGTTATAACCAAGAATAAGAAAGATGAAGCTCATGAACACTCCACTGTGGTGAAAATTGCAATATTGGAACATGATTTCAGTGTGTGCAAGGTGACGATTGATAAGCAATCTAAGGGCGAGTTCGGTTCATATAATGTTTTTGAAAGGAATGGAATCTATCAAAAAAATTAGAATCCGGAGGAATTAGAGTCTGAATGTACTAGAAACTTAAATGCGTTTGGTTGACATAGAATGAAATCTGATTTCTGTTTGGTTTGTTGATTTACCAAAGTAATTGAAAAATGACTTTTGTAATATGACAAAAAGTACCCTTTAGTGATTTTTTGTGACTTAATTATATTTTTTAATAAACATGACGAAGTTTTATATAATTACAACATTTTTATTGAACCCTTCTATAAAATATAAATTAAAAATAACTAACATGTGTTTCGTCAAACACATAAAAATCTTAAATACATTTTTTAAAATTGAAATAAAACAATTATATATAATAATATAAAGCAGCAAATGTCATTCGTTATTTTCAATCTAAATTTAATAATTTTTAAGAAAAATTAACCACACACTATGTAAAATAATGTCTAGATACCTAGTTCATAATCATGTCACTCTTCTAACATGAGCCTCACAAAATCCTCTCGATCTTCTCCTTCCAAATTCCATAAACTTAACACGGTTTCCAGGCCACGCATTATTTTCCTACTTGCTTTGAACATATCCAAGGCACTCAATGACTGCATTTTTGAAATTTCGGGAATCACCATCAAAGCTTTTTTTGTACTTTTGTTTCTCCTAGTATTGCCTTATTCATGTTATTCACTACTTTTTCAAGTTTTTCTTCAAGGACGTTAGCTGCAATAGTTGTTCCCTTAATAACAACATAAACTCTTTTTCTCTTCTTTGAGCCTATGTTTGGAGATTCTTCATTTTTTGTGGTTTGTTCTTCAAAATCATCTGCTACTTGTTCAGATTGTTCTTCATTGTTTGCATCTTCTTCCATTTGTGCGAAATCCTTGGCTTTATTCCTTTGAGATATATCCTTTCCAAAAATGATGCATAAATCCTCGTAATGAGGAAATATCATATTTCTCCATTTTCTTGCCTCTTTGTGAACCTATTTTGTATCATAAAAGGTTGGCACATAAAAATATAACATAAATATTTAAATAGTAACAAAATATATAAAAGTTTTAATATTGTACTTGTATGTAAGAATCTCAAACCGATGGTTCAGCTGTTACATAATGAGTGGAGCTATCATAACCAAAACCACTCGTGTTTGTACCATTCACCATACCATAAATGACTTGCCAATCTTTTTTCATGGTATTGATCATTGACTCAATGTGGGGTATACCCAATATGTCAGAGGTAGGAATTTTTTCCTTCAATACATTTTCTAGATGTTGTAAATATCCAAAGTTAAAATCATTATCGACTTTAAATTCTCTCATGTTCAGCATATTTACCAATGCTTCCACGAGCTTGGCATCTTTACTGATTGTCCAGTTACGATAGTTCCTACTTTGATCTATCACACCTACTACTATAAACATAAAAATTAGATGAAACAATGCATGTAATAAAAAGAAATAGCTAACCATATATATATATATATATATATATATATATATATATATATATATATATATATATATATATATATATATATATATATATATAGTAACCGGAAAAAAAACAAATTAAACTTCATTATTGAAAAGAACAAACGTAGCACAAATTCGTTCCTAGAAAATGATAAACATAACAAAAGTAGAAAGGATCAAGTTGTAGTATTCCAAGAATCAAAAATAGTTTGCACTAAGTTGTTTCTAAATGTAGTCCACTCGGTTGATACACCAACAGAAGTGATATTATCATCGTCTCCATCACTGACATCTCTAGTTCCCTCGTCTAATGCAAAGCGGATCTCAAATAAATCAATTGTCATATCTTGTATTATATAATTATGAAGAAGACAACATGCCATGATGATCTTATTTCTTATATCAATAGGATAATATGACTTTTCCTTTAAAATTCCCCATCATGCCTTGAAAATACCAAAACAACTTTCTATAACATTTCTCGCAGATGAATGTCTCGTGTTGAACAATTCTTTAGGTGTAGTTGGTTGGTGTCCAGCATGCCAATCATTCAAATGATATCTTTGATCTCTATAAGGGGCTAAGAAACCTTCACCATTTTTGTAACCAGCATCTACCAAATAGTAACCTATATATGTAGTATAGTTAGTATAATTAATAACTAATAAAAATCTAAGATACCAATTATTATACATACTCGGCATCGGGTCCTTCAATCCATTTGGTCTAAGCAGGGCATCTCAAAGCACTCTACCATTTGAAGTTGAGCCCTCCCACATAAATACATTGCATATCTTGTGAACACACCCCTAAGACATTTGTGGCAAATATCATTTTTTTTCTTGTCCTGTATTTAGGCATGTCTTTTAGTGGCACTAAGCGCTTTATGTGTTTTCCATATAAAGCTCCTAGACAATTATATACGATATACAAAAAGAAATGGTCGTATGTCATATCAAGCAATTCATGTACTAATTGGAAATTTTATAAGTAGTATATATACCTTGAACCACTTACATCTTTGATCTGTAGAGTTTTCTGTAATTGGTTCGGGTTTCTTAAGAAACTGTGGATGAAACCTTATCACCACATTGCAAAATCACGTAACAATTTTGCTAATTGTTTCTACAAAACGCTGGAAACGGTCTTTCATGACTCGATTCTTCACATTATGTGTAATAATGTGAAGAAATATGGCCACTTATTCATCAATATCCATATGTCTACTTGCTCTTAACCCACCTAATGTGTGAAGCATGTCACATAACTTTCTTAAACATCTTCGGGTCATTCTAAGGTGTGATATGCACGTATTGTCGCTTTTGTAAGAGTAATTGTGTAATATTGATTGTCGATCCACATCTGAAGATATGTTTTTTATATGCACACCATGACAAAAAAAAATCATGCAATAGTTGTCATAACTTCATTCCAAAATGTAATGACTTTTTGACTTATTTGTTTTCTATATGTGTTTCTAATTAGACTAAGTCGTGCCATTTCCTGCTCATCTCCCACAAAATAAACATTTTACATTTCAAAGACATAATAGTTAATAATGTTGTGAAAATTGGATCATTAACAGATTTGAGTTGTTGCAAATGTAACTGAAATTATGTAGTACAATATATTAGTATAAAAAGGAATTAAATGATGTTTTTTAAAAGCAAATTTATCAAATACAAATGTACATGAAAGTACAAACTTACAATTTGTTAACCTCATTTTGTACATGTAATGGTTATTAAGTATGGATTTTAGAGTAATTTATGGGCTTTTATCTTTTCTTCTCCAAGAAAACAAACACTAGTGGTAAAAGGAGTGAATACAAAAAAAAAAAAAAAATCATGTTGGCAAATAAAAAAAATAACACAGAGGCAAAAACACAAACATTTGGTGTGCATAATTATAAAAGGATTGATTGCACATCCCCAACAGTAAATCCAAACCAGAAAATTATACATATACATGTAAAGAGAAATCTTGATACTTTATCTAAAAAAACTAGAGATGAAGTACAACCAGACAGTAGATGAAGCAAATATGAAGTATAGTAGCACAAATATGTATATATTATGTAGCTGTCTATCACACAAAGATGAAAGCACAAACAAATATGTATGAAAACAATAATAAAACACAGTTGATTGTAGAAAATAGAAGGATTCGAGGGAATACTTGTAAATGGAGATGATAAAGGAATGACGAACCATAATAAATATGGTAGCACGGCAACAATGAAAATAGATGGAATCGTTTGGAAAATACTAGTTGCAGATATACATAATCGAGAAGCCAATGTAATTGTAGAAAAGATATGAAAATCACGTAAATAATTTGATTTTGATTTCACACATGGATAATAGGAGGATAGTGGTGTAATTTAAAACAAAGTTATGGAATTGAATTTGAATTCTCCTTGAACGATGATTGAATTATAAGTCTTTCAAATATGGAATTGAATGGTTATTATGGAAATCTAATTCCTTTTATTTGGTTTGCCAAATGCATTTTCCACATGAATTTAATTTCCAATTCACTTTAATTCCTTTGGAATCTGTGACATCCCCAAAATCTCGGTCAGAAAAGACCGATTTCATTTATGCTTTTTTTTAAAATAGTTTCAGAGTAAATCCTTTTGATTTAAAAGAGTTGTGGAATTTGTTCGCAAAAACAAAATATGATAAAATAATATTTATCAAAGCATTTCATCAAGAGATGCATTTTCATTATATAATCAAAACTCGCGATGTCATGTTCCGATACAGACCATAAAGTATAAGCGATAACATTACAAGTCATTCAACAAATATATACATATACAGACTTGTAAACAAAACAACTTGATGATTCATCCATCTTATGCCCTTGCGCCACTTCCTGTAATACAAATAAACTTAGTGGGTTAGACTTGGGAGCCTAGTGAGCATATAGGGTTTTCAACCCACAATAAATAATTATATTTAATTTCACCAACCAACAATAACCCAATTACCCATTCCCGTTATCCTCACTTTATGTCCCCAAAACAACATCTATCTCAAGGGACCTAATCTATGATTTTCTTCGGGACGGACATTACTGCTAAGGGGTTTCCTCAACAATAGAGATCCTAAAGGCAACCATGAGGGGATAGAGTACACCGGTGAACACATCGTTCACAACACCTACAGGTTATGAACCTGCTAGCGTTGCACTGGACTGTCTAGAAAGAGTCCGTGGTCGTCATCCATACTCCGCTAGATGACTAGGCCAACATCAAAAACATCAAGGCCTCTCATCTGTTTATCACACATCAATTATCTACCCATGTTCTACCCAACATATTAGTAGATAAAAATATATATTTTTATACATAGTTTAAAAGCAGTATAGCATGTTTAATCTATATTTTTATACATAGTTTAAAAGCAGTATAGCATGTTTAATCAATACATATTCCACATAACAGATGAGGCACACACACATAACACGTATTTCATAGAGAATAAATCAGATCTATGAGATAGAAGAAAGTGAATATACAGTCATACTTATAACAACAAAGTATACACATAACACATATTTTATATAAAATACTTCATAATTATGCGTTAGAAGAAAATAACTACACACTCACTTGATCAGAAGACGATCGGACAGCACTACGACTTGTAAAAGTAGTATTCTTTGGTAGATCTAGAAGATCTTCACAAAAACCGGGCTCCTTGCGGGCAGAGCTTCGGCTCAGGAATTTCACTTCTCGGGGATCTTCGGGCTTCGGGACTTGCTTCGGGGTTCGGGAATGATCCTGGGGCTTCGGGATATTTCTTGCACGAAAAATGATGCAAAACAGGGGAGAGAGGAGAGAATTTGGCAAAAGAAGTCGGCTGCCCTCGCATGCCTTTTATAGAGATTGAAGCCTCGCATTACGCTGGGCGTAATGCTCTACGCGGGGCGTACGCTTCGGAAACCATCATCGCTTACGTCATCGGAGCTCTTGAGTGCGAGGCGGTGCATGCATCGGGGTATGTTGGGCGTACTGAACTACGCTGGGCGTAGTTCGGATCAAACTGGTGACTCCTCCGGATATACATCCGAATTAAAGATCAATTAATAAATATTAATCATTTAAAAACTTTGGAAATTCATATTTTCTTCACACGAACTCCGTTTTCGACGTTCTTTATATCCACGCGTAGGTGAGACTACACTCTACAACTTTCGTTTAGACTCCATCGACAAACTCTGAATTTATTTTTATTATTTATTTTTAGTAGTCCGGGACAAGAAAACTCCGTTATAAATTCATAACTTCTTCATCCGACGTCCGTTTTCACCTATCTTTTCATCGTTTCACTACAATTAACGAGATCTTCGATTCTCGTTTAGATTGTTTCGGCTAAAAACCGTTCGGTCTTAAATCGAGTATTCGGGCTATATACTGCTAAGACGAAACTTCGAAAAATCATAACTTCCTCATACGAAGTCAGATTTT